GTCCTCTTCTATTTCAATCCCATCTCCCAACAGCAATCGTACTCCTTTACATTAGAAACTCCAGAATTCGTGTCGCCGGAAACGACTTATCCAAGACTCTCAATGGTTTGCAAGGAGATAAAGTTATGTGTGGCCTACCACCGGCTGCCCTTTGATCGTTCCCTTGAGCCTCATTGTCTTAGGATTGGATAGGCCTACAATCGAGTTCATTGATATTGAGGCCGGAGTTTCTTCATCCTCTTCCTCCGATATCTCCATGGCCGTGAACTCCCTCCCGCTCTCCTCTTCTTCCTCCTCCACCAATAGCACACTAAGACCTTTAGCCGCACACACATGGGTAGGTCCGGTCCACCTTCCATCACAGTTGAAACATAGGCTCTTGGCTCGCTTCTCTTGCATCTCCTGCTTTGTCAAACGTCTCAATATTGAGAAGAGTTATGGTGGGTTCGGTTTAGGTAAGTGTTATGGTGGATGGTTTACTGAAGCAATGAATCTTTGGGAATTTTGGCTAGGTTGGGAATTGTAGGCTGGGTTGTTTTTAGTGGGGTTAAAAGATTGGGCTGGTGTAGTGCTATAAGGTTGGATAATTGTGTGCTGTGATTGGGCCGGCCCAGTTCCCAGGATGGCTGTTGTTGGGCTCCTATTGAAATAAGAGTATGGCCCAGGCTTACAGAAAACTCCACCCGTTTTCTTGAAACCGGTGACCCGATTACGCTCCTCGACCCGAACCGCCAAGTCCATAGCCTCATCTAGGGTTATCGGATTTAACATCCGGATCTCCATTTTCACCTCCTCTTTCAACCCATTAATGAATTTCCCCTTTAATATGCTCTCCGGTATGTTTGGAAGTGGGGCGACCTTCTCGATAAACACCCTACGATACTCCACCACCGTGGTGGTCTGCTGCACAGCAAACCATTGCTCGTGCAAGGATCCGGCATTAATCGGTCAGAATTGATCGAGGATGCGCAACTTCAAGTCGTCCCTATGAACCACCAGTCGATGCTGGTGCTCCCACTGATACCACCTCAGTGCATCTCCGTCCAACGCCACTACAGCTGCCTGTGATTTCTCTAACTCCGAAAGATTGGAAGAATTGGAAGAATTGCTCTCCCCTTAAGATCCACCGATCTGGGTCGGATCCATCAAAGGAGCTGTGGTTGTCCCGACGGTAGTCATGGTGAGTTTCATGTTAATGGTGGAAACTTCCTCCTAATCCGGTTTTCCAATTCCCGAAACGGAGGCCATTGAAGCACTTGTGCCTACCATGGCGGCGAGCCGTTGAAGCCACCATTTGGTTGCGGTTGCTCTACCTCGTCTTCCACCATTATGGGTTGTGCCGGTTGTTTACCCAGACTTTTGATGGCGCCTCGGATTTCCTCCATAAATTTGTCCTGCTTGCTCGCCACTAACGTGTTCTGCTGGTTTTGCTCGTTGCGAAAACGGTCGATCCTGCCTTCAAGCACCTGCCTTACATCGTCAATGGCTACTCGTTGGCTCTTAATCAAGTTCTGCTAAAGTGAGTTCTCTCCGTCACCCAGCTTCTCGAAAATTTCCTCCACTCGTTCTTTGAGCGCGGCCACTCGCTCCGGCGTCACTGTCAGCGGCGTCGGAGGCATGGTTGCTCTGACACCAAATGCAACGATCGTGGTGGTTCAACAATGAGATAGTTGGTCGGAAGGTTGATTCGATTAATTAAGCAACAAGCTTTCGTACATAACAATGGCTTTAGGCCATGACTCTCCAATGTCAATCCATCAATTTTTCTGGATACCGTCCTCATACAAAGCTACTACTATTTATATTACTACTACCATCTAAGAATTGGCAAACAAGGCCTTAATTACTAAGAGTACGGTTCTTGTCTTCTTTCCCCTTTTGCACAGTAGCAACAAATAGCTAAAGGTATCTTGTCTCCCCTGCTCCACGGTCCTCTGCCTCTTCTTGTAGTGGCCACGGCTTGGTGTTGTTGTTGGTCTGTCCTTGCTGTCTCTTCTGGCGCCTGCTGTAGGTGAGTGTCACGGGTGGTGGGAATGTGTTTATTGCATCTACAAGGGAAATTGAAGGTTAACCTACTTGATCACCTCCTATAGGCTTGATCACCTTGGCAGAAGGTTAACCTAATGCTAAGGTGATGTGCGCATAATTCAACTGTTTTCTCAGTGTCTTTACCAATATTACAAGTTTGAACTTTGATTTGCTTACTGAACAGCTAGAATTGTCTTGCTTTCGTTAGAAACAAAAGATCAGTAAGCATTATGAATTCAAAAATTGACAGGGGATTTAAAATTAGGCAATATGTTAACTGTCTCAAATCCGTCAACTTGGTTAAACTTCGGGAATTGAAGCTGTGGACTTTTGAGCCTTTGCCATTAAAATGATTATAATTTCATGCTTTTTAATATGATTTTAGCTAACAGGTCCTCGTTTTTTTGTCAGTTTGTTGGCTATCTCAAATTTTCCAGCTCGTAGGCAAAAGGTTCTAGATAGCGTTAAAAAGATTGCAGATGTTGTAGAAAAAGAAATTGTGGAAGCCATGCAGAAGGATCTGTCAATCACTGTCAAGAACATGGAAGACTTTGTATCCTTGGTCGGGAAGCCATATGAGGAAGCAGCTCAACAAAGATTAGACAAGTTGTTGGAAACTCGAGAACAGCTGACTGTTGTTGAGAAAAAACTCCAAACGTTACAGGTTGAACTTCAGAATTTACATTTATCATGAGCTTTCTTGGCAATCACTTTCTACTGAAGACAAATCTTGCTTCATTGGTATATAATGTATAGTAAGTGATTCGTGAACTCTATATGGTTGTATTCTGTTGAATTATTTTGATATATCATACAATAATATGGGTGGCTGTTTATATGATCTATCAGACACAGCTGCATTAGTTTTTTTTTTTAATTTTTTTTTATTTTTCTTTTTCGAAACGTTCTCAGAAAATGTGGTTGTAGGCTTTGTGAGTCAACAGATTTTGTGGTGATTAAATGTGTGGCTCTCTTGATTTTGAATCTTGGCACAAACATGTGTCAGTTGCTGCTGGCTTTTCGCTAATGGATGCGGAACGTTGCATGCTGTAAAACGAATACTTTGTGTCAAAACAGTTTTAAATGAAGTTTATTCCTTTGTTCTTTTAGTTCCTTGATTAAACAAAGTTTTGACTTGCTCTGAGTGATTACCGGCTTATACTAAATGTGGTAGCTCCACGACATTAGTCTTTATCACTATACTAAAAATAATGATGTTATTTTATAGTAATATGCGGCACAGACGATATTCAGATTCGTCCATCAAGCTGCAGTCAAGCTTCTGCTGCATTCCACTAGTTTTTTTTTTTTTATAGAACCGAAATTCTCTCAGGACCGGCCAGCAGGGTATATGTTTATCTGTTGAATTGTTATTTTACCAATCATCAGTCTGCTGACATCTCTGCATTCTCATGGAGTGTTGCGTTCGTACATACTTTTCTTTAATCTTATGTGAAAGGTACGACTGAATTATTAGTGGGAGAAAAAGGCGACACTTTAATGTAGTCAAAAGCTTTAAAGGAGATGACGGGAAGAAGATAGAGGCTTTGAAAAATGCTTGTGTAAGCGATGTTTTTGATTCCTCCTTTGTCTTCCCGATTAAAGGTACATGGAAAATAATAAAAATAGTCCTATATAATGCATATAATATGGCGAGCTTACTGTAAAGTCAGGCGAAGAAAGTCGTGCTGAGATAGTCCCTTTGTCTCTCAAGGGAAAAGCCTAGTGACGAAACAAACAGTAAGAACTTTTTTGCTTAGTTTGCAAGATACTTATACCCTTGATTAGCTAGTCCACATCAATTAAATTATTTGCTAACGATGGATTACGGCAGCAAATTCGACGGTTTAGGCTCCAAATTGTGTGTTAGCTAAGCCTTAGGAGTACATATTCTTAGCCTCCTTAGAGCATAACCAGCCATTGGTTATTGAGGTTGGTTATTAAGAGAGAGAAAGTGGAATAATAATAAAATGATGAGGAGAGAGAAATTTTTGGGGGAAATTTTCAATAACTTGGTTACTAGAATAACCGGTTATTGTAGATTGGTCATGGAATATTTTATTGTTTTTGATAGTGACATATAATGACAAGGCTGCTTGAGATTGTGACACCTATTCATTTAATCAATGGCTGAGATTTGCTCTGATTTTATTACCGTTGTAATTTTGTAACGACCATAATTTTAAAAATACAATTCTTAAAAAAAAAAAAAAAACCAACGACTCTATTTTATTTTTCTCTATAAAATGAGCGCAGAGGTATTTTGAAACAATTTTTTTTTAGTGAATATTACTCTCTTTATTATCAAATTGTGTAGAGATGAATATTCCAAAATCTAATAGAAAAAAAAAACCCACAAAATCTCAAAACTCATCACAACCCCAAAATAATCCTAATCTTCAACCTTACTATTCTAACATTCCAATTGATCTCAACTCAGATTTAGATACAAATTTTCAACAATTTTCAAATTATGGTTCACAAAATATCAATTTCTCAAATCCAAGTACTTTTACTCCTTTCCCTTTTCAACCACCACAAAATCCTAATTATTCATATTCTCAAAATGTTATCCCATCTTTTGAGAATATTCAAATCTCTCAAGGTGATCCAACATTTCCTATGTCCCAATTTCCTATGTCACAAGGTGATGATAGTGTACTTCCGAGTTTCAATTAATCATACACTTCGGCTGGATCAGATGATGACAATGAACCAGAAGTTGAAGTCAATGAAAGAGGTCATGAAGAAGGCAATCAAGATGGAAAAACAAAGTTTTGGTCAAAAGCTGAAGAAGTGGTTCTTGTGAAGGCTTGGCTTGAGGTTAGTCAAAATAAAAAAAAACTAACACTAACCAAAAAGGGGATGTTTTTTGGAGGAAAATTGAGGAAATGTATAATAATGTTAGATTATACAAACAAAGGTGTTTCGAAAAAGGTACTGACGGGGTAACATGAGAAGATTTGTTGAAAATGAGGGGTTCGGAGCAACTTAGAAACCGTTGGAGAAGGATCAATGCTTCATGTTCTAAATTTTGTGGTTCACATGCTCTTTCTGAATCAAGAAGGGGAAGTGGAAACAATGATGAAGATGTTATGAAGGCAGCATATAGTATATATGCTGCTGACAAAACAAAGACATCATTGATGTCTAAAACCTTTCAAGACAAGCATATTTGGGACATTTTGATACAACAAGATGCGTGGAAACCAAGTGAAGATATTGTTCAAAAATGCAAGCAAAAAACATCTACTCAAGGAAGTGACTCAAAGAGATCACGTATCAATGAAGCTGGCAACTACTCATCTTCATCAAACCCGGAAACACCAACCAGTGGTGATATTGGGTATTCAGGCTTGCCTTCCAGCAACGAATCTAGCAAAAATAAAGGAAAGAGCAAGATGACAAATATGCCACTTGCAGCATGGCAACAATGGTTGGACACGGCCCAGAACATGAACCTTATAAGGCAATCAGAAAATCAAGTGGAACTTACAAGGTTGCAACTAGAAAGGGAGAAATAAGCAAGGAAGCAAAGAAAGATTAATATGGAGTTATTTAAACACCTCGATTCAAAGCCAAACCTATCTTCGGAAGATCAAGAACTAAGGAACAATTTATTGAAGAAGTTGTTCCCCTCAGACTGATGTACTAGGTGTATGGTTAATCATAGTTTAAATGTTGCTTAGATTAATTTCAAATAATTTGCTTTTTAGTTTTCTTTTTTATGTACTAAGGTTCGATTTTTATTTTCGCAATTTTTAATGTGTTGTTGATTTAGGATATGAATGAATGTTACATTGTAATGTTATTATTAATATAAAAAAAAAACAAGTTTATTAACAATTTAGTATTAAAATCGTATTATACGATACGCTTTATATACATATAATTATTATTGATTTGACTAAACTCATCAATTCACTTTGATATTTCACAGAAAAAGATGTAAATTGATTTACATTACACTAAAAAAGAATTGATGTACCCAACACTGAAAAAAGCAAATATTAGATGACATTGATGTACTTAACACTGAAAAGGTAATAGTAACACTATATTGCTTTTACGTACATAATAATGTTAAGGTGATATTGACAATACAAAAGCATGCATCTACATTATTAAAAAATTATTAATTTTTTTCTGAATCAATGCATGCATGCAAGACTTCAAATTCACCATATAAGACAATAAAGATGACTACATACCCAACACATTTGTTCTATAAAATGGATGAGATACGTTTCACTTGATTAACAATCCATCTTTTCCCCTAAAAAACTTCTACCTTCCATTCTCATATCAACTTGGTTTTTAATAACATGTCATCCGACGAAAGCTCCAACTCTTCTAATTCTTCATCCAATTCAGAAAATAGCCAAACACAATGATATGAAAGACGAAGGCAAGTCAATCGTCTTGTTAACCGAATGATGGATGAAGTTTTTATGTCCAATCCAATTGAAATATATCAAATGTTAAATCAAGTTCCAAGGGCACCAAGGATCCCCGTTCCAAGGGATCGTGAGGATGGACACAATCGTTTATGGAATGACTACTTTGCTGACCATCCTGTGTTTCCCCCATAGTTATTTCGTCGGAGATTTCGTATGAACAAACATATATTTCTCCGAATAAAGAAAACTTTAGAAGAACGTCATCCCTTCTTTCAACAAAGACAAGATTCTACAGGAAGATTTGGTGCCTCCGGATTGCAAAAATGCACAGCTGCTATGAGGCTAATAGCTTATGGCACCTCTGCTGATTTTGTAGATGACTACATTCGAATTAGTGCATATCTTGCAAGAGATTCACTACAACATTTTGTGGAAGGAATTGTCTCTTACTTTAGTGATGAATACCTTAGAATTTCCAATGAAGAAGATCTAGTAAGACTACTAAGAATTGGTGAACGTCGAGGATTTCCAGGTATGCTAGGTTCTATTGATTGCATGCATTGGCGGTGGAAAAATTGTCCACTTCGATTAAAAGGTATGTTTTCTGGAAGACCAGGTAAGCCCACATTAATATTGGAAGTTGTGGCATCATATGATCTTTGGATCTGGCATGCTTTTTTTGGGACACCATGTAGTCGTAATGATATTAACGTTCTTGATAGATCCCCTTTGTTTAACGATGTTTTTGAAGGTCATGCACCTTCTATTAACTATGTTGTGAATGACCATCATTACAATATGGGATATTATCTCACTGATGGCATATATCCTAAATGGGTAGCATTCATTTCTACAATATCACTACCACAAAATGAAAAAGAAGGTCTTTTTGCCAAATTACAAGAAGCTAGACGAAAGGATGTTGAACGTGCTTTTGGAGTATTACAAGCTCATTTTGCAATAATACGGAATCCTGCGCTAGCTCGTGACGCATCAATGTTAGGAAAAATAATGATAGCATGTATCATTATGCACAATATGATCGTTGAGGACGAAAGAGATACGTATAAAACGTATTACGATTCAAATGAATATGATCAAGCTACAAACGCGTCTTCAAGTAATAGAAACACTGAAGAGCCTTTTCAGTTCGAAAATAGCAACAACCGAATTGCAAGTTTGGAAATTTATATGTCTAATAGAGCTTGTGTTCGTGATGAATCTATGCATAAAGCCTTAAAGAAAGACTTAGTTGAACATATGTGGCTCAAATTCGGTGTTCACAGTAGGCAAAATAATTTGCGTTAATAGTTGTATAATCGTAACATTAAATTATTGTATTTGTACTCAAGCACGGTTCGTTTTTATCTTTTAAAGATTGTTGTCATTTGATAGAATATGTACTATTTTTATTATTATCGAATTTAGTAAAGTTGCTATTATTGTGTATTTCTTAATTAACGACTAATTACTTACTAATTAAATAATATAATGCATTAATTTTAAACATAAGTCATTTTATTTAATTATTATATGCTAATAATAATTATTAGTTTTAATTGATTATTACCAAGTGTATTAGTTATATATGGTAGGATTTAAGAGAGATATTGTGTGGTGGGGTTGGGTAAAAGTAGGAGAGAGAAAATGTATAACCAAAAAGATGTGGTTAACTATTGGGAGACATTGGTTATTAAATGGGTATAAGAGTGGTTATAGGTGAGGTGGAAGATGTAGAAATTAATAAAATAAGCAATAACCACAATGGTTGTGCAACCATTGTGCATGCTCTTAATAACATAGGCTTTTCAAGATTACGCTCAAAATACTTTTGTATGTTTATTTAGTAGCCGACTGTTTGACTCTTTGTATTATCTTTAGTGTACTGGCTGAAATAGCTTTTTTCTAGTTGTATACCTAGTTGGATTCTGGCTACTCAGCTTTCTTTTTGGTGAATTTCAATTTGATGTGCTTTTTATACCCCACATAATGAAAGTGAATCCAAAGATCTTTTTGGACTTTTACCCTTTGTTTGTAGAGCTGTCAGTTTCTGACCCGAACCGTTAAACCCAACTGTTTCGAACCGATCCGAAAAGGAACTGAACTGTTTAAAACCCGTTTTTTGGAAATCGAAAACTGACCGACCCAATTTTTTCCAAACCGAAACTGAACTAAATCGAATTTGTGCAAACCGTTACTAACCCGACCCGTTATCAAGCCAAACCGTTACAACCCGAAACTGAAAGCAACCCAAACCGATTACGTTTAAACCCGATAGTAACCCGACCCGTTTTAAACTGAAGACCGTTAAAACCCGATCACTAATAGAAAAATAGCAATAGGCAGCCCCCATATGGCACCGGTTCAGGCCAAACCGGTGGCCAAAACCGGTCTAGAAATGGGCGGGATTTTAGAACATGAGAAAAGGCACCGATTTGGCCTAAACCGGTGCCAAAAATAAAAAAGACACCGGTTTGAACCGGTGCCAATTGAACCGGTGCCCTTGTTAGATTAAAAAAAAAAAAAACCGGTCAAGCTTTATTCCTTAGCTTCCTTTATATTCCTAACCCTAAATGAGAACTCAGCTTCCTTAGCTGCCTCTCTCTTCTCTCTCCTCTCTTCTCTATCATTTTTCCTTCTCGATCTCTCTGACCACAACGAAACGATCTCTTCTCTATTGTCCTCCTTCTCTGTCTGATCTCGCTATCCTCTTCTTTCCCCCCTCTTCTCCGACCTTTCTTCTCCCTTCTGTCTTTTGCCCACCACCGCTACTAACCACAGCCGCTACTAACCACCGCCGCCACCTACATGTTTCTGGGTTTATTATTCGAGGTAAGGGTTTACTAACCACCGCCGCCACCTGCATGTTTCTGGGTTTAATATTCGAGGTAAGGGTTTCTGGGTTTGATTATTTTTGGTAAATGCCTTGATTTTTTTTGGTTTGATTGTTGTAATATTGTTTGAAATTGATGGGTTTAATTGATTTTTGAATTTTCTGGGATGATTTTGAATTTTTTTTTGCGTTTAATTGATTTTCGAAATTGATTTTTCTAGGTTCTGAGTTTAATTGATTTCGAATATTTTGGGAATAATTTTAATTGATTTTTCTGGGTTCTGAGTTTAATTGATTTCGAAATTGATTGGAAATAATTTTAATTGATTTTTCTGGGTTCTGAGTTTAATTGATTTCGAAATTGATTTTGAATTTTTTTTGCGTTTAATTGATTTTCGAAATTGATTTTCTGGGTTCTGAGTTTAATTGATTTTGAAAATTTTGCATTTAATTGATTTTTCTAGGTTCTCAGTTTAATTGATTTCAAAAATTTTGGGAAAAATTGATTTCGAAATTTTTGGGGTTAATTGATCTTCGAAAATCTTGGTGTTTAATTGCTTTTCGAAATTTTGGGGTTAATTGATCTTCGTAAATTTTGGGATCTAAAACACATTTAAAAAATTTGTGGTTAATTGTGTTTCGATTTTTTTGGGTTTTTTTTTGGTTATTTATTTATTAAATTATTTTGATTTTTGAGTTCGTACATGATGCATGAGTTTCCTGGGTTTTTTTTTTGCATTTTTTTTTTGTGAGTTTTATTGATTTCTGGGTTTTAATTGATGCAGGTGTTGGTGTTAATTGATGCACAAGGATTCAAGACTTTGATTTTGGAATATTTTTTTTGATGTTGTAATTTTTATTTGTATTTTTCAATATCAATTTAACGTTGAATTTTATTGTATGATTATAATTCATTGTATTTTTTTTTGTATTGTACAATAACAGTTTAATATATTGATATATTTCATTGTCTTTTGCGCTTGTTCTAATTTATATTTTGATGTTCTAATTTATTTTAGTTGATTTAATTTTAAGGTGAAAAAGGAAAAAAAATAATAATAATTTTGGGCAGTTTTGGCACCGGTTAACCGGTTCCAAAACCAACGAAATAAATATTTTGGTTCATTTTTGGCACCGGTTTACCGGTGTATAATTGGATATATGGCACCGGTTTTGAACCGGTGTTAAAAAGGGGGTATTTGGCACCCCCCACATAGGCAGTGGTTCAAACCGGTGCCTTAGACCAGGTTTGAACCGCTGCCAAAGCACTTTTTTCACCTTGTGGATAAAAATCCGATAAACCTAAATCGTTCCAACCCGTAACCCGTTGTGACCGGACCGGTTATAATCCGTAACCCGTTGTGACCAAACCGTGTACGACCTGTAGCCCGTTATGACCAAACCGTTTAAAACCCGTAACCCGTTATGACTGAGTCAGTTACAACCTGTTACCCAATATGTTTATGATCTAATCTGTTTCAACCCACTACTCGATAAACCCAACTTATTTATGACTTGACTTGATTATAACATGACTCGTTCCTACCCATTATCTGACTAATTCGACTCGATAATCATCCGACTCAATTTTAACCCGATATGATTTTGATTAGAAACCCGTTTCAAATTGGGTAAACTCGTTTTCAAACCAACCAAGTTCAATCTAAACCGATTATAACCGAAACAATAATGGTTGGACCCGATTTCACCCGATCTATTTTGAACCGAAACCCATTTTCGAATCGACCCAGTTAAACCCAAACTGATTATGACCCGAACCAATTACGACCTGTCCTGATTAAGACCCGAACTGTTTTTAACCGAAACCCACATTAAATGGGCTAAACCCGTTTTCAAACCGACCCAGTTCAACCCAAATTGATTATGACCCGAACCGACTAGAACCCGATCCGATAAGGACCCGATCCGAATAGAAACTGCAATTAAAAAACCAAACCGAACTGACCCGATAATTATCAAAACCGACCCAAACCGACCCGCTTATTATTTCAATCCGTTATAAACCGACCCGTTATAACCCAAAACTGATAAACCCAACCCAAACCCGAACTGTTTAACCGAATTGACACCCCTATTTGTTTGGTATGTATGGTGTTATATATGGGGAAATGGTAGTTATTTTGTGAATAGTAGATATTTTCGACAACCAGGGACTGCTTGAATTGCGGATGATTAATTCGAGTGATTCTAAATTAAGCCGTTGATAGATTGTGGAGTTGTAGTCGGATGGATGTTTTTTTTTTTTTTTTTTTAATTTTTTTTTTTGGTTGTATATAGAGAGCCACGTGGCCAATTGATGAGAATTAATTTCAAGATCTCGTGAAATCGGTAGGAAAACTCTAACCATCTGAGGTATCCCTCAACCTCTGGATGGAGGACTTATTACCCTCTATAAGTTAAAATTACAAGTACTTATGGTCCCATCACTCTTCTTTGTAAATGTTATGGTACCCTAGCTAGTTGCCTTCTTGTTAAAGTGAAAATCTATCTCAATTCTTATATGAGGGAGCCCCTGTTTATCAACATGATAAACGAAATTTGTTGATCAAATGGCAATTCAGTAAATATTTTGCTTTGTTTTATGTGAAATGACTTACAAAAATTTATTTCTACTCAGTTGGTAGGTGGCACTTATGGACCACAATTAACACCAAGTTAACGAGGGCGTTAACTCTAGAAGACCATCAGCAGTATACATCTCTTTCAAACTCTCTTTATTTTCTATCTCCTCCTCCATTGAAGTCGACGATGAAGCTTACACCGCCATTGATCGATCTCTTGATTGGACTCCGCTGGAAAACAAATGAATCTGGAACAATAAAATTGTATTGAATTCTCAAAAATTCAGATTGGTATTTTTTCAATATTTTTTGTCCTTTGCTTCTTCATTCCTCCATCTTCTTCATCCTTCATTCCTCCATCTTCTGCATCCTCCATCTTCTTCATGCTTTCTTGCTCGTGAACACCATGTCACCACCACAATTTTGGCGAAAACGAAAACCCCAGTTGAAAAATTAAAGGTGAAAAGAGGAAAGGGTTACATCCTCCTGCCCAAATTTAGTGAATTTTAATTGCCCAACATCAATGGTTAGTGCTCCGACCTTAATTTTGTGACAGAGGAGACCAATGTTCAGCTTTAAATTTATAGGAGAGAGAATTTTTTTTCTTTCTAAATGAACAGGAGAGAGAAAATTAAAGGAGGAGAGAGAAAGTGTTTAGAATAACCAGAAGAAAGAGAAAATGTTCAATTATGTGTTCACGTCGTCAAATTCACGTTTACAGAAAATGTCAATTTTGCTCTTAAATTTTCAGATGAAAGTACATCAAAACCCCTTGATAAACAAAACTTGTTTCTCATTCTGATAAACTTGAATTTGCTCTTCTTATATATTCTAATAATTTAATTGACACACTTGTGAATGCACACTTTTGACCTAAAGTAACAATTAAGTAAAAGAATAAATGTTTGTAAGAAAACAATTGAATTTTAGCAAAAATAATTTTAATTTAACAAAAAATCAGATGAAGATAATAGGACAGTAGTAAATATGTATTCAATGTTAATCTATGCATAAAATCTTAAAGTCAAATTGTTAGAGGGGATATGAATAAATTCTTTAGGTTTTGATTAACTTTCAATATGCTCACTTTATTAGCGAAGATGTAAAGGTACATTTTACATGATAGGATTATGCAGTGAAGTTGTATCTATAGTTTGAGCAAATTTTGCAACTGAAATTATCTGGCTTAGCCAAAAATGCGTGTGGTTAAGAGAGCTTGCGTTTCATATTAAGAGATACCTTTCGTGATACGAAATTGAGGGCCTAAAGTTGGTCGAGCAAAGCTGCTCAATTCACATGGATATCATATGCTTCCACCATCCTACACTATATTTCAATTGGTCTAGCCTCTGATATTTCACTTAGTTTTTGCGTAAATTTTGGTTGATTTATCAAGGTGATAAACTTGTATTTTCTCTATTTTTTCTATTATGATATATTTGGCTCTCTAAAAAATACACACTTTAAATTAGAGCTGTCAATTAAGGTATTCAAGTCGGGTTCAGGTCAGGTCAAATCAGGTCTCGGGTCAAATCAAGATCAGGTTGTGTCGAGTCAATCTAGCCTAAGATCAGGTTCAGGTTCCGATCGGGTCAATTTCGGTTTAAGTTATTCCGGGTCGTTCATCCTTTCGGGTGTAGGTCAGGTCTGATTCGAGTCAAATTCATAACGGGTTCAATTTTAGGTTCGGGTAGTATTGAGTCGGGTTTGGTCGGGTTAATAGATGGTACATTCGGGTTCGGGTTAAGGTTGGGTCAGATAATTATATTATTTGGTCGGATAATCTTAAAGTTGGATCATTGTTGGTTTTGGTTCAAGTTCAATTCGAATAAATTCGATCGATGTGGTCAAGTTAATTTATTTAAATTACGCTCTGCATAATTTGTTTAACCATTATCAAGATTTTATTACACCTATATATAAAGTAATAAAGAATAAAAGGTATATAAAATTTATTAAACGTCCATGATTCGCTTCAATGACAGGTTGTGTTGGGTTATAAACGTTTTCAGGTTCTAATAGGGTCGGGTACTAGTTCGGGTTCGGATTATTGTCGGGTCGGATTAAATCGGTTGACGGTTACTATCGGTTCGGGTGCGGATTCGGATTCAGGTCATAAAATATTGAATCAAATCAGTCATCGGTTAACATCGGGCCGGGTTACGGTCATAGTTTCACCCCATTGTTCGGGTACATGTCAGGTTCAGATCATTATCAGTTCAGATCGGGTTCTCGGGTCGGGTCAATTTTTGACAGCTCCACTTAAAATTACTCCCTCAATTAAGTAAATTATACCGTGACAAATCAATAATTACGTAATCTGCCGTAATATTTGTTTTCATAAGTTAATGGAAGATATAAGCAATGTAAAACATGTGAATAATGCATTTTTTTTATTTTTATTTTTATTTTATTTTTTGAAACATGAATAAATATTCCATTTAAAGAGTAATTTTATTATTAGGTTGGTAAGTCGCAAAAATTAGTGGTATCTAATTTTATTAAATAAGTTCCATTATGATACAACTTTGTTTCTTATGTATTTTTCTAAAAAAGTTTACACTATTAATTGTCAAATTTCAAACCGAATCCGTTAATTATTCAAAATCCACCGACCCAAATGAGAACCGAACTGATTTAAAACCCATAGTTTGAAATCAAAAACTGACTTGAATCATTTAAATAAACCTGAAATTGAACCGCTCCGAATAATGTTAAACTATATAAGAACCGAACTCGTTACACACCGAATTGAAATAGAATCTAACCGAAAAATGAATCGTTTTTAACCCAAAACCGTTTGAACCGTGTTAAAAAGTAAAAAATCGTTTAAATCGAAATTGTATCATACCGCAACCCGTTTTCATCGTATTGTTTACAAACCGACCCGTTTACAAACCAAACCGCTTATAAACCAAATGATTTATAAACCAAGCTACTTATAAACTGACTGTTTACAAACTGCTTATTGTAATTTTCCATCCGTTTTAAAATACTTGCTCCACTTTTCATTTTCGACCATTTTTTAAATACTTGCTCTTATTTCCTTATTTGGAAAGGTTTTATAATATTTAATTCATTTTTCTCACCTAGTAGACAGTAGACCCAACATAAATCATATTTTATTAATTTTATATTCTCCCTCCTCCAATTCTCTATATTACTTTTGCTTTTTATAATTTTTTATTTTTTCACCTACTCCACTACCTCTATATTTTATTACTTTCTCCAAATTATTCAAAAATCCCGCATATGAAGAAATAAAGTAAGTATTTGAAAACGGAGGAAGTATATTGATAACCTCATTAGAATTAATTCTGTCATCTTAATCTACATGTATGAATAAAGGGAAGATTAATTATATTATTAACATTATATATTGATATTATTGAGGT